ACCTTTTTATGCTCCTCCTAATATTCCTATTTGGGTCTTAGATAATGTATGGCCACCCATTTCTCTTAGAAAATGTGGCTCCAACAGACTCTGCTCCTCTGGCTGACTACTTGCCTTCTCAGGGAACTTCTCAGAGAGCATGCAAACCAGATCCTGCCCCACCCTATAACAATTTCTGTTAAACCAGGAGATCTTGTTCTCCAAAAAGGATCTTCTACCCTCTCCATTGGGACTTTTATGGACCAGCCCTCATCTGGTCATTCTCATGACACCCACTACTGTCAAGCTCAATGGGTTCCCCCAATGGCGGCACCTCTCAAGAAACAATTAGAAAAATGGAGAAGGGAATTGGAGGGCTCTTGAAATTGTCTAGGGAACAACATTTCACAGTGGTTCTCCTAGCCAATGCCCATCCTAATTCCTATGTTGCTTGCTCTCCTATTCTTAAGCTTCCTCCCTTGTATCATACTACATGTCCGCTATTGCTAATCAAAAATTTAACCAGCTTCTCCTCCAAGGATACCAACCCTTGTAGCACAACCAGAAGACACCTATAATGGACCCTACCATGACACCGGGTTATAAACATCAAGACCCCCTTACAGGATGCCTGCTACAATTCCTTGACTCCCTACATGAGGATAGTTGGCTGATACCAACCATGTGGAGGTTGGAGGATTGGCTTGAGACTCTTTACGATCTGTGGCTGCAAAGGACCTTCATCAACTTCGGGGAAGAAGAAATCTTCATTTTTGTAGCTGGGGTGTACACCATCATGAGGCTCACCACCCCAACATTGTTTGCCAATTAACCCTCCCTTCCCCTATGCCACCCCTTGCCAGCTTGAAGAAGCCAGAGCAAACACAATGCCCCCCTTCCTTAACAAACAAAATTGGGAGGAATGTTGGCAATAATGGCACCGATAGGTTTCGGTTCTTACTGCACCCTTAAGCTTCTGTTTCCCAGGATCACGGTCCTGCCTCAAGTATAGCTTGAATTCTCTCTCTGCCCCAACATCCAATCAGCATGAACCATAATACCCTAACCAATCAGATCATGCTGAGTCTCACTGAGGGGTATTTAAGCCCCGGCCTCTCTCTCTTTCTTTTTCTTGGCTCTCTCTCCCTCTCCCACCTGGCAATAAAGAATCTCTTGGCCAGATCACTCCTCTCCATGTGGTCACTTTGGGGCCTACATTTGCCTACACCATCTCCAGGATTGGAGGCTGAGGTACTAACACCAAAATTATTAAGACTGAAACTTTACTGCATTTGTACTTGGAGATTTTAAAATTTTTTAATTTTTATTTTTTAAATTTTTATTTATTTATTTTTCTCAATACTCTCTCTGTCTCCGCAATGCCTGTTCAGCTTACTGTTGATTAGCACACTATCTCTCTCTCTGTTTACATCTTTGAAACTTTTTGTTTGTTTGGTTTTTTTTACTTGTTTATTTGTTTTTCCCTCTATCTGTAACTTCTTTGCTTTCTCTCTCCTCTCACACTTCCATTCTAAATATCACTGTTGTCATTATTACAAGCTAGAAAATACTTAATTGCACACAGTTCAGGGACAATAACAACACAAAGGGAAATGATGGGAAGACAGAAGAAACAGGGAAACCAGTCTCCCCACAGCAAAAAATTAGTACAGGAACCAGAGGGGAATGAGAAAAACAGATACTCAGATACAGACTCCAACAAAATGAAGATAAACTATGCCAAAGAACCCAATGAAGCCCACAAGAACAATCTAAAAGAAGAAATACTACAGGCAATCAATGAGAATTTTATAGAGATGATACTGGATATGGTCACCAAAATGTACAGGAGACACTCAAGAAATTCCAAGACAACAAAAATAGAGAATTTGAAAAAGCACAAAAAGAAATAAAAGAAACCATAGAAGCACTGTATAAACACCAAAGTGAAACAAAGAACATGATTAATAGAGAGATAAATGATCGCACAACAAAAATAGACAACATTAAAGAGGAAACAACTCAGGATATGGAAAACGTCAGAAAAAATAATGAAACAGAATTGCAAAATGAAATGGAAGGGCAATCCAGCAGAATAGAACAAACAGAAGACAGAATCTCAGAACTCGAAGATGAAATGGTAATTAAAGGAAAAACCAAAGAACTATTAGTTAAACAACTCAAGTACTGTGAAAAGAAAAAGTAAGAACTCACTGACTCCATCTAAAGACCAAACATGAGAACCATGGACATTGAAGGAGAAGAGGTGCAAGCAAAGGGAATATGTAATATAGTCAACAAAATAATAACTGAAAATTTCCCAAATCTAGAGAAATCTATTCCCATACTGATGCAAGAAGCTTCCAGAACACCAAACAGACCAGACCAAAATAGATCTACCCCATGGCACATTATCATTAAAACCACAAATACAGCAGAGATTCCAAGATGGTGGCTAGAGGTAGGAAGCAGAAAGCGAGCCTCCTATAGTGAAATCTTGGAGAGACGCTGGAGACACACTTTGCAGGCATAATCACTGAGAAAAGGCATAACTTTGACCCCTCCACACCTCCAGCCGGCGCAGAGAATCTCCACTTCACGTTAAATGGAGAAACGAGGAAGGCCCCCAGGGTGCCAGTGGCCAGCACCCACTGGGAAGACACGGACCAGGTGAGCTTCGTGGTACCGTGGTTCTCCCACAGACAAGCCTGGGCCAGAGCAGCATAGACCCCTGGACAGACTGACCTCCACCCATGGAAAAAAAGAGAAACTGAGTAATAAGCAATAAGAACAATTAAGACACTGGAAAGAGGGTGGGGCAGCCCTGAGCGCTGAAGATTGGGGGAAGGGAATCCTTCCCGGGACTGTAAATAAACAAGCCGGGGGGCCAGAGAGCCTCTGGCAGGAGGGGGCACGCCCAGCAACCAGGAGCGGGAAGCTTGTGAGAGCGGAGGGAGAAAACTCCACAGGAGAGGAGGAAGACCCACTTCCACGTGAACTGTAAAAAAACATGGCGGCTGGCAGGAGCAGCAGCACCGCCCAGTAATCAGGAGCAGGAAAGCTTGTGAAAGTGGCAGTGGGAGGAAAACTCACAGGAGAGGGGAAGACCCACCTCCCACATGAACTGTAAATAAACAGCAGGCCTGACAACGGGTGCAGTGTCACCTTTCCCAGTGCTTGGAAAGGGGAAAGCCTGTAGCAGAGGCTCCCCACAGGAGAACTCTGACAAACAAAGCCTGTGGACCAGGTGAATGCTAAGTTCACCCCTGAGATCTGCATAAATAACGCTGCCAGCTACAGCAGGCTGAGAGAAGCAGGCAGGCAAGCCACAGTTGCAGATACCACTCTCAGAACGGTCTCCAGACTCTTTTTTTTTTCTTTTTCTCCCTACCTTTGATGAGAGAACAACGAAATTACACCTGCAAGCTGAAAAACTTACTGAAACTGTATTGCATTTGAACTTGGGACACTTGGTGGGGCTTTTGTGTGTGTGTGTGTGTGTGTGTGTGTGTGTGTGTGTGTGAGTGTGTAGTTTGGTTCTACTTTATGCACCCCCTTTGATGAGACAACTACAGAACAACATCTGAGGCACCAACTCCAGGACTGGAGATTGAGACTGACACCCAAATTATTAAGACTAAAACTGCATTGCATATAAACTTGGAAGTTTTTTGTTTTTTTTTTAATTTTCTATTTTCCATTTTATTTTAATTCATTTATATATATAGATATTTCTTTCATTTACTTATTTTTTATTTTTTTATCTTTGATTTTCAATCCTCTCTCTGTCTCTCTAATGTCTGTTCAGCTTACTGTCGATTAGTACACTAACACTCCCTGTTTATACCTTTGAAACTCTCTTGTCTGATACCTTGTTCTGCTTTCTCCCTTGTCTGTATATTGTTTTCCCCTTTTCTTTAACTTCTTGCTTTCCATCTCAGCTCACCCTTCCATTCTAAATATTACCATTGTTATTATTACAAGCTAGAAATATTTAATTGCACACAGTACAGGGACAGTAACAACACCAAAGACAATGACGGGAAGACAGAAAAAAACAGGGAAACCAGTTTCCCCACAGCAAAAAATTAGTACAGGAACCAGAGGGGAATGAAGAGAACAGAAACTCAGATCCAGACTCCAACAAAATGAAGATAAACTATGCCAAAGGACCCAATGAAGCCCACAAGAATAATTTAAAAGAAGACATACTACAAGTACTCAATGAGAATTTTATAGAGATGATACTGGATAGGTCAACCAAAATGTACAGGAGACACTCAAGAAATTCCAAGACAGCAAAAATAGAGAATTTGAAAAAGCAAAAGAAGAAATAAAGGAAACCATAGAAGCACTGTATAAAAACCAAAGTGAAAGAGAGAACACAATGAAAAAATGGATAAATGAACTCAGGACAAAAATAGACAACATTAAAGAGGAAACCAGCCAGGATATGGAAAACCTCAGAAAAAAGAATGAAACAGAACTGCAAAAAAATGGAAGGCCAATCCAGCAGAATAGAACAAACAGAAGACAGAATCTCAGAACTTGAAGATGAAATGGTAATTAAAGGAAAAACCAAAGAACTATTAATTAAACAACTCAAGACCTGTGAAAAGAAAATGCAAGAACTCACTGACTCCATCAAAAGACCAAACTTGAGAATCATGGGCATCGAAGAAGGAGAAGAGGTGCAAGCGAAGGATATGTAATATATCAACAAAATAATAACGGAAAATTTCCCAAATCTAGAGAAA